GTATGGTATCGTATGTATGGTATCGTATGTATGGTATCGTATGTATGGTATCGTATGTACGTATGTATGTATGTTTGTACAGTGAATCAAATAAGCATTTGAACGTCCTGCTATTTTAAGATTCATAATCTAAAAACCACAAGAAACCACAATATGTGAGTTTTTTAAACTATTTATTTACCTGATACAGCTGCAAATAAGTATTTGAGCACTTATCTATCAGTTAGAGTTCTGACCCTCAAAGACCTGTTAGTCTGTCTTCAAAATGTCCACCTTCACGCCATTTAAATTCCTAAATTAGATGTACCTGTTTGAGGACGTTAGCTGCATAAAGCCCCCCGGTCACCCCATACAATCAGTAAGAATCCAGCTACTAACATGGCCAAGACCAAAGCTGTCCAAAAACACTAGAGACTAAATTATGCACCTCCACAAGGCTGGAAAGGGCTACGGGGAAATTGCCAAGCAGCTTGGAGAAAAAAGGTCCACTGTTGGAGCAATCATTAGAAAATGGAAGAAGGTAAACATGACTGTAAATCTGCCTTGGACTGTGGCTCCATGCAAGGTCTCACCTAACGGAGTCTCAATGATCCTAGGAAAGCTGAGAAATCAGCCCAGAACTACAATGCTGGTCAATGATCTGAAAAGAGCTGGGACCACCGTTTCCAAGGTTACTGTTGGTAATACATTAAGACATCATGGTTAGGTATCTTTCATGGCACGGAGGGTTCCCCTGCTAAACAGTTTGCCAATGACAATTTGGATGATGCAGAGGAGCCATGGGAGAAAGTCATGTGGTCAGATGAGACCAAAATACAATTTTAGATTATGTCTCTCACAGTCGACATGCGCTTACGATGACAATTTCAGAACCCTCTATGATTTCTAAGTGGGAGAACTTGCAAAATAGCAGGATGTTCAAATACTTACTTTCCTCACTGTTATATATATAGATATATATATATATATCATTAATTATCCTGTTTATTTACATTAACAGATGGAGAAACACTGACTTATCAAGCTCAGAAAGTAGTGAACTGTAAAGAAAACTCAAATGGTTCGGGTTCTCCAGCAGTATCATGCACTATGAAAAATATATGTAAACAAAATCAAACCAGAGATATGAAGATCGAAGTGATTTATGGTATGTATCAGTTTGTAATTTTATTTTAAACTTAGAACCTAAAGATAGATTACAATGTTTTATTAAATAAAATTACATTTATTCCATACAGAATGTGAATGTAAATGTCTTTATTGTCCCAGAATGGGGAAATTCATTCTGCATTTAACACATCCCCTGTCATTGTGCGGCACCCAGGGAGCAGTCTGGGGTTAAGGGTTTTGCTCAGGAACCCAGAGTGCAGGCTGTGGGGATCGAACCGGATACTTGCAACCTTTTCAGAGCACAAACGCACTGTTCTAACCACCAGGCCAACACTTACCCTATATATAATATTATGTATCTATAACTTTATTAATTTTAATGATTCTAGATGATTAATTAATTTAGATAAATATAGGGTATGTGTGTACCCTTTATTTATCTGGTTAGATCTGTCTTTTTTTTGTTGTTTTTAAAAAAGATCTTGCCATAAATGGTAGCGGCACACAGACTTCCCAAATAAAAGTGAAATGACATGAACAAACATGTAAGATAAAGTATTAGTAGAAAATAAGAACAAACATTTAACAGGAAGAGGGGGGTATGAAATGTGTAAATGTCCGCTGAGTTTTATCAAGTCCAGCATCTATGCTGTTGGTCACTTGCAGCTATTAGAGGGCAACAGTCTTCCTTCTGCTCGTAAGCTTTATGTTGCTAAGTAAAATGTTTCCATCAGTACTTGTGACCCACCTACAAAAGTACCAATACCTGTGGAGGGTCCTTATTAAAGTACGGGGCTTCCATGAAACTTCAGCAACACCCTCATGTCATAGTTCATTAATGCAGTAAATAATACAAAGCAACCCCAAATGAGTAATGAGTTCATGTACTATACAGTACATTATCATACTTTTTCTTGGACAGAAGTTTCTATTTTCTCACTCTGTTACTGGTTTTGCAGAGTACTGTATTTTTCATTCGCTGTAATTCATAATCATGAGCATTGACACTACTAAACCTCTGAAATATATCACAATTTGTTTGAAAAACATCTTTGTGTTTCACTTTTAAAAAGAAAAACACTTAATTCAAAAAAAATAAAACATCTGTTTAAAATGTATGCAAGTGTTTTGCAATGTAATGTGTGTTAAAATTCTCTTTAATTCATTGTGAATTAACAGTGAACGATCCGTTCTGTGCACCGGAAGGTGACTGGAGCGAGACCAAAGCCGATTTCACAGCAGAACTAAAATGCAGTGAAAAGGCTGGAAAAAGAAAGCGAAAATGTTCATTAAAGTAAGATTTGAAACCTTTTCTTCTTTTCACAAATTTAATGAAAACTCCTCATGGTTTATTTCATTCATGAAAATGTATTGAAAGCTGCAGTTCTCAACAGAACAATTCTTTGTGTGTGTGTGTGTGTGTGTGTGTGTGTGGCCATGTCTTTGTTACCTGGTGGAGACAATTTCCCAGGAATATGCTACATTTTGGGAACTCATAGGTACTTATAGGTACTTGTGGGGACTAAAGACTGGTCCCCATCAGGTGAAGTTTTGTTCTTGGGGTGGGGGTAAGGTTTAGATCTAAGGTGTGAATTGAGTTTAGGTTAGGTCTAGGTTTTTTGCGTATTTGGGTATTTCTTAGTGGTTAGGCGTTAGACACTCTCTCGATGCCCCCCCCACCCACCCAGTCCGACGACTCGGTCAGTTTGTTAGAGGATCAAAGGCATTGCATGGACCAGTGCACGTTTGTTGGTATCTCTCGGATCCATAGCCAAGCCAGTTTGTAAAACCTGGAGAATTATGGTTAGGTTTAGAGTTAGGTGCAGGACTAGATTTAGGGTCAGGGCTAGGTTTAGGGTCAGGGCTAGGG